ACACTGCGCTGCAGTCCGTTCCACCTTGTTGTACGGCTGAGACATGACCGTCGGTAATAGAACACACAAAGAGACTGACAGGTTGGGGTCCCTGAGTTGAAAGGAATCAGTGGTCGAGAACCCCAAATGACGTGGCTGAAAATGGGTCACAGTGGCGAAGATATATTCACTCTTCGTCACCTTCTAAAGCTTGAATATTTGGATTAGCTTTCATTTTTAAATTGCATATTCTCTCACACAACTTTGTCTAACTTTATATCACTCCTTTTCTACCCAGCTAATCTTTGGTACCACTGTGAGGTGTGGCAACTTTAGCCCATTCCCTTGTGTGGAAGACTCTAAGTTGATTTTATCTACCTGTTCCTTAGCTAAAATGTAAATAGTGGGTAAAATAAGTTGGATGCGACAGATCTGTTAGGGATCTCGCTGAAGAAACTCTCTGGAACGTCTCTTTTAATTCCTCAGTCTACCTGTCTTCTAAAGCTTCAATATCCGCGTTTGATTATATCGTTGTTGGATCCCCTGGATGTGCATGCGAGGGTTGAATGAATCTTTGAGACACCTCACTGTAGATCGAATGCTCTATGAGTACAACCTACACATGAGCCGCCACAGAAACATTTCGAATTCCACTCATTTTCCCTACACCCGCTGAAGCGCTCACTTACAACACAAATTCTGGATAGATACGTTATCTTTCATCTCCCTCGATATGCTGGTGCGTCAAGCTAGACCGTTACGCAGAAACTCTAGGTCCCATTTCGGTATTGATCTATCCAAACATACTTCTGTGAACCTCTAAACTTAACATCATTAAAACAAGTTTATTAACACACCCAGGTCAAGAGTAAAAATCGTCACTTACTTGCTACCGAATTCAAGTTTGATTTCATCTTTCACCAATAAACACATAAGTGCACTGCTGAACCGAGCGGTAAACAAACTACCTCTATGTTTTGCAATCTCAAGCTCTAATGAGTATCGTGTTAAATCTGAATAAGCTTGATCTGAAGTGATAAAAACATTCAACCTTTTGTAAAAATATGTGAATCAATACGATCAATCACAAGACAGGAAGTGATGTTGTTTTTCAGTCATGGGACTAATTGATCCCATTGAAAATCCTGATCCTTCCATCCATCCAGATCAACCTAGGACCAGGCATTACTGCGTAACGGTCTCAGTTGCCGCACCTCGTATCAGTACATTAAGTAGAAAGGCAGTGAGGCGCAAGATGAAGATAAGAGAATGCAGTCAGAAGAAATATAAAGTACAAAGAGAGAGAAACGAAGAATGAGAAAGTGGTGAGATTTGATATAGTGTCGTTAAGATGAGGACAATGTGTGTATACATTTGCGCCACTGACATCTGTTCTGAGCCATATCACCTAGTCTCTAACCCCTGGTTCCCATTGTCCAATGGACCCCAACCACTTAGTCTGCATCACCCCACATGGCTCAAACCAACAGTAAAACACTTCATACATTGGTACCATGTTTTAGTCTGGCCACCTTGGGCCTTTTCCCAGCCTGGACCTACCTGAGCCAACATTGTGTGACGAGGCGATCGGCGACTAGGCATACGTAACACGTGTCACAACCATCTCAGTCGATAAAGGTTCACAACCATGTCAACTGATTTACCTCTTCTCCCTAAAATTCAACCCTGACTTCTGCGTTACTCACGTGGTGACACCACGGAATACGGCGGCCTATACCACGAAAGCAACAGTGGTTAAACACCTGAGGCCAGGCTTCTCATGTCTTCTACCTTCAATGGCCATGTTTCACAGCCATACAGTAGAGTAGACCGGACTGCTGCGGAGTATACGCGACCCTTGGTAGACAATCAGATATCACGGCAGCCCCATAGCTGGCCTAAGTTGGCAAAAGCCATTCGAGCCTTTTGTATCCGTCCACAGATTTCACCGGCCACTGAGCCATCAGCGTCGATCCTACTTCCCAGGTAAGTGAAGTGGTCAACACACTCAACCACTTCACTCTCTACTGTTAGCCGTGGCACCGTTGGAGACCAATCCTGGAACAGCAATTTGCATTTGGGTGGTGAGAAACGCGTCCCAAGCATTATCAAATTGCCATCCAGTGTTCGGAAGACTGCATCTTGTCAGCGTCTTCACCTAACAGGACTATGTCATCTGCAAGTCATAGGTCTACCAAAAATTCTCCTGTGGTTAGATCAACGTCTGTGTAATCACGCGACGAGAGGGAAACCTCCATAAGAATATCTATGATAAATATGAATAACAATGGAGTAGGCACCCTTGACGGACACCACTCGATAAGTGCAGCTCACCTTAGGCTCTAACACGTCCGCAAGTGTTCGACTAGAGAGCCTTCAATAAGGTGATATACTTACTCGGTACGCCTTTCAGTGAGAGACATTGTCATAAGACTTCTCGATCAACGGAGTCAAATGCCGCCTTCAGGTCGAGAAATACAGGCAGTGTCGGTGTTCCAAAACCTGGCGCAGTGTAAATACTTGGTCGATACATTCGCGGCCAGGTCTAAAGCCTGCCTGGTTTTCTCCGGCTTGTTGTACTCGAGCTCCACTCAGACGTCGGAGAATTATAGAACCTAGGATCTTGGACACTATGTTCGCAGGATGACTCTTCTGTGGTTATCACAAGAGGTCTTCTCGCCTTTTTTGAAGACTGGGATAATCAGTGACTTAGACCAGAGAGGATCGTATTTGATTCCCACATACTAGCTAACACTTTCGTTAGCACCTTATCATCATTCTTTTATACCTCAGCAAGTAGTTAGTCTAGTCCTGCCACCCTTCCTCGTTTCAAGTTACCTACTGCTTTCTTAACTTTTCCTAGTGTTGGGAGGCCTATCTCTATGTCCCATTCAGGACTCGACCGGATAGCGGGCAACTCAATGGTGGCTGGAGGCCAGTTAAACTGCTCCTCGAAGTGTTCTTTCCTTCGTTCCAGTCGTCTCACCTGCGAGTGAATCGCAGATCCGTCCTTCTCCGCTATAGCCTCACTAACTGTTGTTGACCTTTTCCCATTCAGTTTCCTTAATACGTCTAAATAACTGTCTACTGTTACCGATCGCCGCCGTCTTTTCCAACTCTTTAGCCTTCGCTGCCCATCACTGTTCGCATTCATTGCGTAGACTTTTTCTCAGTCTACTTTTAAGCTGTGCCCGTTCTTCATTGTACTCGGGACCGGCAGTGATGCGTTCACGTACATCCATTATTTCGGAAGAAGGTGCTGATATCCACTGGCTCTTTTTAGCCACTCTTTCGGAGTCAGCTACGGTCTTCAGCGCTGCTCTTACGGCAGACTGGAGATGGCACCAAGCTTCTTCTGGATGAGTGATAATCTTCGGTTCCATCTTCTCACTGAACACGGCTTTGGTGTTTTCGTTGTCCAGCAGCACTCGTGGTCGTTTTGTTGACAAGTTTTTCTTACGTCCATTGAGACGCAGACATATACGCGCTCGGACCAACGCATGATCGTTGTTCAAACACGTACTCCAGAAGGAGTGGCAGTCTTCTGTCGATCTCTCCAGCGATGACTAATAGCAATGTGGTCTATCTGTGTCCATCGCTGGGTTGAGCTCAGTAAATGCCACGTCAGACAGTATCTTTCTTTACGTCTGGGATTTGTGCTAGCCAAAAATAAGCGGTTATCTGAGCACAGTTGTAGTAGGTGATCACCGTTATCCGTACATTCAGCCGGGACTCCGAAAGTGCCGCCTAAGTGCCTTTCTCCATCACTCAGTCTACCCACCTGTGCATTGAAATCACCTGCAACAACCACTACGTCCGAAAGTTTAGGTTTCGACGGGAGGCTAGACTGTCTACGGTAGGACTCTTCCTTCACTTCATCCGAACTACAGTCAGGGGGTGTGTAAGTAGGGATTACAAAGAGGCGACGGCGAGTCTCACTATTCCTTTTAGTTCACACTGTGCCGTTCAGCCTCATAGCGCAGAGGCGACTATCAACTGGGATCCAGTCTAGTAGTGAGTTTTCTGCCCTACTGCTTAATACTATCCCTACACCTGCAGGACCACGAGAGCTGGCTATCGGATCTCCAGAAACTCGAAGGGTGAATTTTGCGAATCCACCAGATTGGTCGGTGAATAACCGCACTTGGGTCTTGTATGTGTCTTACAAACACAGCACACATCCATGCCCCGAGTTGCTAGTCTTTGCCAACGAAGCCTGTTGACCAATTTGACGGAGGGTGCGGACATTGAAGACTTCAACATGCAATTTGGAGCGTGGTTTAAGGAGACGAAGGGTGCTATTTTGTTAACTCAGATCGTTGTCAAAGACTGAGGAACTGAAATTAAAGATGTGGTATTGTTAATTGAGAGACGTGAAGGAAGATTAGGAGGTAATGAGGGGGGGAGGTGGATAGCAGTCAGAGGAAACTTGACTGCTGATCGAGTTGTGAGGGCGATTGATACTTCCCAGCTGCCCACACCGTGGAAGGCTATTTCTACTAAAGGTACCTGAAAGAGATGTGACCGCAGAGCCCATCGGACATCTGCTTGAGGCCTGTCACACACAGCCTTCTATGTATGATTATTTTGAACTTTTGTATTTTTGGGGCCGGATGGTCGAAAGGAAACTACAGATGAACAAACACCGTGGGCCATGGTGGAGTGTTATTTTTGGGGCCGACCTTTCCTAACCCCCTTTTCCATTGAGAAGGCAGCATCAGCATGGCACTGCTGGTCATCAAAGGGGAACACCTTACTGAGGTCACACCACATCCAGCTAACAGCAGTACGACTTTAGCCTCGGACCCCCATCATAGTGCAGTAGTTTACACCACAACGGTAACTGCTCTTCGTCTAACCACTATCCAACAAACCTTTCTGGTATGGTAGGACATCGAGAAAACAAGTGTTCCACTAGCATAGCTCGTTGGGTCATTGTGGTATGCAGGCCCGACCACCACGTCAAGGTAGCAGCTATCGGTCGGGAGAAAACCCTGATAACAATTAGAAAAACAATATGTCACATTCGCACGTATATTTGCTTAGCTGAAGCTAATTTGCTTCATAATTATTTTTATCTGAACTAAACATAAATAAATACGACTACAGTCTCATGAGTGCCTTGAGCTGGAGTGGGAACTGTGCAGGTTTCTAAATCCTACATTTAGCTACGAAGAACATCAACTCCAGATGGTACAAGTTAGCAGGGCTTCTAGTAAATAATAACAGGTCTATATATTTCCAACCAAATTAAAAAATGTCATCATGGTCTATTACTGCTAACTCCGGCTTGTCATACCCAAGTTCTTCCAAAGTTGGCAAACCAAGTTCTTTCATAGTCGGCTGGATCTCTTTATGAAGCCACTCCCATGTGCCCTTGCAGGCTTTACATTTAAACTGAAAAATCATAGGAGGAGAAGCAAGAAGCCTACCTTAACAGACTCCATAAAACGGATAGCAAGAGCAATATCATTAAGGCGTCTGCACGCCTTGAGACCACTTATTACGACTTCTGGGGGAGGAACTGCATCTTCAAGATGAAGCCTTTGCATCCATGTTCTGGCCCACCAACCATCAAGTTTCGGATCATTGAATGCATTGACAAAACGCGACTTAAAAACCTCAAATGGTTCCGTTCTGTTTGCATAGTCGGGATTAGTAGAATAGTCAGCGTTATCTTTACCGCACGCAGACGGGAGTAACTTTGAATGAACTTAATCACAGCAGTAATTCTTAAATTAGCCATTACCTTTCCACAGATTGTTTGTAATAAGTGACGTCCGACGAATCATCACTTTAAGAGCAGCCCACAATTCAAAGACGCACCTTCAAAACTTCGTGTTGTCCAATACCCAATGTCTCTTGTAAAGCCAGTGTGAGCCAATTGATTTCTTCTGGGTCCTATGGAACGGTTCCAAGTCTTTGGTGGATTCAGGTGCAATAGGTCTACCTACTCGCCAGCTGTAGATCTGGTTGGCCAGACGGGCGTTTGGGTGTTGATTGAGTATGTAGGGATTGTGTGGTTTTTCGAGGGAGTGTGATGCAGATGGTTTCCTCAAATGTTGTACTACAAGACAGTTGTTTGGAGTGGTTGTAAAAGGAAGGCAGAAAAGATGACCAGAAAAACCAAGGGAGAGGAAGTGTGAAGAGAAATGAAAAACGATAAGTTGGAAGGAAGTGGAATGGAAGGTGAAACCTACGTGGATTCATAGGAGATAAGCACTGGGGAGAGCTTTGATCGGATACTGTGAGAAAATGGAGTCAGAACAAAGAAAATGAACGGGTAAGATTACGCGATCGGTTACGTGAACAGAGATTGTAATACCATTGTCAGGAGTTGGTAACTAGAGGAGAAGTCCACAGGGAAGTATGAAGTTGAGTCACATTCGAGGCGATGGTGACGTTACAAAACATTAGGTAATGAGTTGGCAGTGCCTTAATGTGCGGAGTCAGTAGGCTGTATCAGCCGAGTCCGTATCCCATGTGAATGAGCTCAAACCATTCGTCACCGCGTAACTGTCTAACCTCTTTCTGGAGCTGTCAACCGACGTAGCAATAGCCATCTCCATAGGCGATGCGTTCCAGTAGCCGCCAGCTAGCAGAGAGAGAAAGTGTGAACTCACATGGGCTTTTTCCTTTCGGTGGGCGATTCATTTTGGTTTACCACTAGGATAGCCACGGTGGTCATTTTGTAGGATTCCACTATTCGGATGACTTGGATTACTTAGTATTTTACAAGCCATTATCAGGTCACCACGTAATCTACGGTGGCTAAGAGTGAAGATCCTTGGGTCTTTCAGCCTATCCCCATAGTGTTTTTGCCTCATTCTCACGACACCCTTAGTTGGTACTACCTTCAAAAATGACAGTGGGGTTCGACAAATTTTGATTAGTTTGTTATATTTACTGTGTTGAGGTTCAGAACTCTTTGAACAAACATTTTTCTACCCTTTGTTCATTCCACTGACAGTTTCTAAGAATGTCTGCAGGATTTGTCGCAGAAATGTCAGCTTCGCAGCTAAGGCAATGGGTTTTGAGCTTTGCACTTAATGGACTCACTTCTCCTGTGATTCCAGCCAGCCAACTGGTTATCATCATGTATTGCTCAATAGCCCTCTTGATGGAGATTGGTATTTCTGTCCATGTTGTACATCCAAAAGGAAGTACCAAATAGGCCGAGAGCTAGTGAGACAGAACTCCGACCATCTTATAGTTGAGATCTATACACAAACCAGCCTCAATCTAAGGAAGTCTCATGGCCATAAATAGATCCTCCAAGTGGGCAGTAAGCGAAGTAGCCATTTCATCACTTTCACGGACTACCTCCCCGTTAGCATACTTGGGAGCAGATCCCCTCAGTGGTGAACCTGAATCTCACACCCGATAAGCGCCGAAAGAAATATCTGGAGAAATGTAAGCGGATCAGATCAGTTAAAAATGGAACATTAGGTAACGATTAGTAAGACTGACAAAGTAACGACTACTCAGCCTAATGGAAGGCCGGACCGTAAGTTGATCATTGCCCAGCCTGCTTAGGTGGAAAACATTTCGAAAAGAGCAGATCCTGGTCCCACCACCCGTAGCCCACGGCGGAAGCCACCCGCATTTCACCACCGGCCTCGTCTAATCATCAAGATAACTCCCACGGCCGGCGGCTCAGGCCTTCCGTGTCACTCGCAAAAAGGCAACCCAGAAGTCTCAGTCCGTATTTACAGGGAGGAATAAGCCCGAAACGACAGACCATAACCTTAATCTTAGTTTGCTCATACTCTTCAACGTACAGGAAAGTCGGCCCTCCCTATTAAATGATCGTGAAGAACATGATTTTGGCCAATGGAAAAGTGGTTGCAAACTCCTAGGAACCTTTCTCTGCAGTCCATCTCTTCAACGCCTAGCGTGCAGTAAGTTCTCCCCCAAAGGCTCTTCTAGACCTTTAAGGGGAACTTTAGGGTGTCCAACTCCTCTTTTCACCATAGTGTATGCTCTGTACATTCGCTCTCATCTAGAAAAAAATTCGCTCGTGATGTCCCCATACTTGAAAAAGGACATAGCCATCCTTGAACGGGTACGGAGAAGAGCTGCGAAGAAAGTAATCGGGATACGGCGCAAACTGTACGCAGACCGCTTAGTTTCTCTTCAGCTGCACCCAGTACAATACCGGAGGATCAGAGGGGATATGATCATGATGTACCACGTCGCCCATAATCCCCTCCATCCTAACAGATCCCTTCTAAGCTCTAGTCGGAAACGGGACCTGAGGGGTCACCCGTTAGGAATAGAGCGCGAGAGAGCACGCACAAAGATCCGTGCTACGTCATTTGTAATTACAGCCTGTAAGCTATGGAACTCCCTCACTTCAGAGATGTTACAGCCCCATTCCCTGATACTTTTAAGAGGAGGTTAGACGCACACCTCGAGCTCTACGGTACGGATGGGCAGTACTCGAGTAGCCTTCCCCAAGTCAGATGCAGTAATAATACCATAAGACCAGATTAAATAATAGTCGTATCTCTATCCTTCCAGGTTTTTTATAACAGGAAGGTAATTGTGACCATTCCAAACCCAAAACGTATTCCAAAAGGGTAGACGTAGAACCCAAGGAACTGCTGCTCACTAATCCTTCAACACGAAGTTTGAAGATTAAAGCTTGCTCACATCTGGACTTTCTGCAGCAGGTTCAAACCTCTTCTCGAATATGGCGGTGGACCTCCGGGTGAGGTCGTTTGTCGGTCTTGCACAGCTTCAGGAAGCACTCTGGAGTGAGTGCACCTGGTTGTCACTGCAGTACTGCGTAGCCTCTGGAGGCATCTCCTGGATTGATACGGCTAGCATCCGGCTTGTGAGCCAGTATTAGTGCCAGGTCTTTCTCCATGGTGGTGTGAGAATGTTGTGTTCCACAGAGAGATTAGGGTACTTCCTGACGGCCAGTGGTGTAGACAAACACGGTTCAGTACTTATCCAGACTAGATTATTGTTATTATTATTAGTCCCTTGAGTTCTTAGTGGAACATAGGGCTTCAGTAGCACGTCTCCACTGACCTCTGTTCTCTGAGATCTTTGAACCTGGTTCCACGACAGCCCACAACCTCTCATTTCCTCCTCGCACGACCTCCTCCATGTCACCCGCCTCGGACGTCCAACTCGTCGCTTCCCATCTGGATTCCACTCGAGGGGCTGACGCTCGCCTGGTTAACTAGTTCACTAGTTACTAGCTGGTCCTGAGCCCGGGTAAAGAGGGAAGGTTGGGCATAGGGCTAGCAACCCTACCCTGCAAAACAAATCTAACCGCTAAACAAACTTCGAAACACAAACAAAATATAAAAAATAAAAACAAAATTACTCCTCGCTGGAATCGGAGAGGCGAAATGACGCCAGTTGGTGAAAGCCTTCGAAAAGCCAGTTGGCTGATGTGTCTTCTCTCTATGAAAGCGAGAGTAAACGTGGGGACATGGAATGTCCGTACGATGTTTGAACCTAGCAAGGCAGCCCAGATTGCAAAAGAGATGAGAAGGTATCCAGATTACATACTAGTCCGTTTTTATCCACCCACTCTAAAGTTAGCCTGAAACCAGTTTGCAGTGCACTTGATTCTGCTTCGGATGCTGCAGCTTCCCGTGGCTCAACATCGCCGGAGTGAAGTCGAATCAGGACTGGTATGCAATTATTCCCAGTTTAAGCCTAGGAGAGTTGAAATTGGACAGCTTGAAATGGGGTGATCGCTGACAAAATCTCATTTCGGATAAAGAAAGCCCGTTCGCCATTTTCCAACCTGCGTCATCTGTGGCGCCGACTAGAAAGATATCTGACTATTTATCCAAGGACGAGCACACTGCGCTGCAGTCCGTTCCACCTTGTTGTACGGCTGAGACATGACCGTCGGTAATAGAACACACAAAGAGACTGACAGGTTGGGGTCCCTGAGTTGAAAGGAATCAGTGGTCGAGAACCCCAAATGACGTGGCTGAAAATGGGTCACAGTGGCGAAGATATATTCACTCTTCGTCGCCTTCTAAAGCTTGAATATTTGGATTAGCTTTCATTTTTAAATTGCATATTCTCTCACACAACTTTGTCTAACTTTATATCACTCCTTTTCTACCCAGTTAATCTTTGGTACCACTGTGAGGTGTGGCAACTTTAGCCCATTCCCTTGTGTGGAAGACTCTAAGTTGATTTTATCTACCTGTTCCTTAGCTAAAATGTAAATAGTGGGTAAAATAAGTTGGATGCGACAGATCTGTTAGGGATCTCGCTGAAGAAACTCTCTGGAACGTCTCTTTTAATTCCTCAGTCTACCTGTCTTCTAAAGCTTCAATATCCGCGTTTGATTATATCGTTGTTGGATCCCCTGGATGTGCATGCGAGGGTTGAATGAATCTTTGAGACACCTCACTGTAGATCAAATGCTCTATGAGTACAACCTACACATGAGCCGCCACAGAAACATTTCGAATTCCACTCATTTTCCCTACAGCCGCTGAAGCGCTCACTTACGACACAACTTCTGGATAGATACGTTATCTTTCATCTCCCTCGATATGCTGGTGTGTCAAGCTAGACCGTTACGCAGAAACTCTAGGTCCCATTTCGGTATTGATCTATCCAAACATACTTCTGTGAACCTCTAAACTTAACATCATTAAAACAAGTTTATTAACACACCCAGGTCAAGAGTAAAACCCGTCACTTACTTGCTATCGAATTCAAGTTTGATTTCATCTTTCACCAATAAACACATAAGTGCACTGCTGAACCGAGCGGTAAACAAACTACCTCTATGTTTTGCAATCTCAAGCTCTAATGAGTATCATGTTAAATCTGAATAAGCTTGATCTGAAGTGATAAAAA